TGTTCTATAAACTAATTACACGGCACCTATACGACTGTCCCCAAGGGCAACCACGTAGCCGTTTTTGAGACAAGGATAACTCTATCACTAACCAAACCAGTGGTAGCAGTTGACATCTGAGTCAGATGACCGCCTGTATTACTTGGGATAAATGCAGGGGGTACCTATTGAGTTAATAGCCAACAAACATTGGCGAATCAAGGGGTCTAGCCGGCCTACGCTGCCTGGTACCTCTACTTCTCAAACAAAAGTGACGGCGACTGAGTAACTCCAACGTTAATTCATAGTCACTCCCTCAAGGTTTGAGTCGTCCGCCTGTTTTTAACAAACAAGGGCACTCAAACCCCTATTCCTACTAGGTAACCTATTGAGTTAATAGCCAACATTGGCAAATCAAGAGGATCAGCCGGCCTCCGCCGCCTGGTACCTCTACTACTCAATCTAGATGGTGACGAAGACAAAGTAACTCCTATGTTAACTTAACAGTCACTCAAACTTAGTATGGAGCCTAAAAGGTATGAGTCGTCCGCCTGTTTTTAACAAACAGGGACTCTCAACCACTACTCTTGCTAGGTTAACAAATTATGAGTTAAAAGCCAACATTGGCAATAAAGGGAAACAACCGGTACCCGCCGCTTGTTATCTCTACCACTTAATTCCTTGGCGACTAGGTAATTACAAAAAGACAGGCACGCCTGCCTAAAAAGGATCCAGACAAAATAGTTCGAATACCGATTGAATAAATGGCCGACTGATCGTCTATCCTGGAAACAGACAACCAGTCGTCCAGGGGCATAGGCGGCGTACTAACTATTTGTACCTGTCTGCAACGTTCAGCCATGTACAACAGTCGGTCTAGTAAACAATGGGATATTAGATATGGAATACTTAGACAAATTTGAAGCAAAACAAAAATTCATTAAAAATAAGCCGGTCATTAAAGACCAGCAAAATATTCAAAGCCCCGGCCCCCTGGCCGGGTAAATACAAAGCAAACGGCACGCAGGCCGTGGAAAAAATACATCAAGCTTAAGAAGGGGGTAGTTCAGTATTAGCAGCTGCCGCCTGGTCAGCACTCTTCTTGCTGGACTCGGCTTCAGCTGCATCCTTTTTTGATGCCTCACCCCCAAGTGGCACAAGCGCCACAACCGGCTCCTCCTCCTCCTCCAACGCATCTCCCAACGCCTCTTCTTCAGCAGCCGCCAGGATCTCTTGATTATATGTTTCCGAACACTGGCGGTACGTTCTTTCCCAAGAGGCAAAGTCGGCATTGGGGAACAGGCGGCCCCAGGTCATGCGCTGGATTTGAGCGGAGTCTTCCATCATCTCCCGGACGAGCTCTTTCTTCTCTTGCTCGGCCTTTTCCGAAAGCTCTTGGGTAAGACTCTTCTCTTGGCTCACCAGGCGTTCTTTTACGCTGGCCAAGGATTTCTCCATGGCTTCGTAAGAGTACATTTTTTGGCGAAGAGGTTTCAGCTCGGCCTTAAGATTTGTGATGGTCGCCTCCAGCTCGTCATTCTTCTTCTGGGCCGCCTCTAACTGAGCCCGAACAGCGGCGGTAGCCTGCGCCTGATAATAAAGAATATCAATGGTCAGTACTTCATTTTGGGCAATTTGAAACATTGCCTTATCACAGTTAGAGGCGGCCATAGCCAGCCTTTACCTCTTTGTTTTTCCGATCAAGCGGCTTGCGAAGGCTGTTAACTCGGAGCAGGGCCTAAGTATAAAAAAAAACAGGCGTCAGTTTCCAAACAAAAAAGATAACAGGCGTCCTGGAATTCAAATACTCAAAAAGTATACCTCAGCAAGGACCCCTGCAATCCCATCAAGGTCAAGGGTGCCGGCACCCCTGACCGCCTCCCTTTCAGATGGAGGAACTACTTTGATCATGGACTTGGCTACCTCTACCAAGTCAAGCCCCCGAGGGCCGGCTGCATCAAGCGTAAAAAAGCAAGTTAGACCTAGTCATGAAGGAAGCAAGTGTAAAAGTTTTTACAAGTAATTGTCCATACTTCTAGGCGGCCCCGCCGGGGTTTTAGAAGAAGTGGCCGGCTGCTTCTCAGCCGCCACTGTTTTCCTGGAAGACCCAGGAGAGCTTGCAACAGTCGTCCTCCGGGCCTTGGGGTCCGGCTGTTGCGAGGAAGAAGCTCTTGGAGTGCCCGACTGAAAAAAAAAAAAAAAAAAAAGAGTTAGTATATGCATAAGACAACTCCTAAAAGAGGAAGAGTTTCGAAGCCTACCAAGGGTTCCCCCTTGTTGGGGGAGTCGGTACAAGACTGTTGCATGAGAGAGGCCCGCAACATGGCCGCCGCAGTCTTGGATGCTGTTATTTTACTCATGGCGTCAGCTGCAAAAAATAAACAGCAAAGTTAGTAAAAATCCCAAGTAAACAAGGCGTGAAAAAACAGAGTATTTGTCAGGCCGGCTACCTCTAGAGCACCGACTGCTGAGGCCACAGGCGGCCAAAAAGTACTCGTCGTAGAGCCACTTGAAGCTCGGGACGCAGTTTAGGGGTACTTGCTCTCGTACCCCTGAAGTAGAGTTCACCCTAGTCTCTTCTTTGAAGAGTCCTTTGTCTAGGATCTCTTTTTTAGCCTTTGGGGGAACAGGTGGCATGCTGCGGCCGCCTGCGAGAAGAGGCGGATCCCTATTCCACTTGTTAAAGCGTTTGTTCAGCTCCGTGTCTGAACCCTCGATGATAAGGAAGGTGTTCCGCCAATCCTTCCATTTGTTCGCCTTACCTCTCGTCATGAGGTAGCCCCTATGGCTTGTTAATTGATACCAGCCGGTACCTCCCGACTTAGGGGTCCGGCTGAGATAGTTCATGTGGGCGAAAGCCTCAAAGCTTGGCTCCACCCCGTACATTTCGCACCCGGCCACATAGCCGAGTACGTTCACCCAAGAGTTGGGGGCTAACTGCCATAACCCCAAATTATACCCATCTAAAATCCGCTGAACAGCCGGATGTAATGGGAAGCGCAGTCCAGCTTTGATGGCCGCCACATAGCAGCCAAAGCAGCCGTCATCATAGCTGGTACCAGCCGGCCAGACGACAGTGTCTTCTGGATCCGGCACGAACAGTAAAAATTCCGGGCCCATTCTGTGGTTAGCTATAAAGCTCTCCACTTTGTCTTGCATGGCTGCGATCCGACCCCGGGGTACCGTGCAGTAGTAGGGGGTGTTTTCCTCTCTGTAAGAGGCGGACGGCTCCGCCCAATTTTCCCCTTTCTCAACTGCATGAGAAAGCCTCGCCTCTTGTAGGCGGCTGTTTCTTTCTTCTGAGCCTGGAGAAGCGTGGCCAGAAGAGCTGGACTCGGACTCGTCCTCTGACGAGTCCGAAGAGGACGACTCCTCCCCTCTCCCAGAGGGGCCCGCCTCCTCTCCCTTAGAAGAAGAAGGAGGAAAATTAGACATATCAACGGTGAAATGGGAAGGGACCACCTTGACCCCTCCCTCAGAACTGTCGGCTTGGCAGCCGCCTCGTTTCTCTTCTACATCTGGCGCCTGGTCAGATGTTTCACTAATGAGCACCCTTTGGGAGGAGCCGTCCAAGTTTGAGATCATAACAGTCTTTTTTGTTCTGGCCATCACGTTCTGCATAGACACAGATACAGTCGGACTTTGTATAAAGGGTAAAGATGGGTCCAGAAAAGGGCAGGCGGCACTCCTAATCCTAGATTCAGCCGTCCCCGGTGACCGGCTGATCACTAACTTAGGTCGTGTCGTGTGCTTCCGTGGTGCCATTTCAAAAAATAAAAAGAAAATTAAGAGTAAGAGAACTGAGTTACCTGAACGAGTGACGGTTGATGAAGTTCTGGAAATCCGGTGCAGTCGGCTTGTCAGAACAGGCGGTAGGCAGAAAAGGTCCGAAACGTCAGAGCAAGTTCAGGGGTCCGAATGTTCTCGCAAAGTTCTCAAATGTGAAAATGACCGAAGTCAGCACTTCCTTATATAGGCAAAGTGAGAAGGCGAAGGGTCGCTTCCAAATTCAAAATTTGGGCGGGAAAATCTCTCGGCCATTTGCAAGGTGACACCTGTAGCAGGCCGTCGCCTGTCACCGTGCGGCACCTGTCACAGGTGACACGTGACCAGTCACGTGCCACCTGTGAGGGGCAAATGATTAGGGGATTTTTATCCACCAATCACCGTCTGACAAGTGGACCAACCAGGTTCCGCCACGTGTCCTTCACGTAGGCCAATAGGAGCCTGCCACGTGTCAATCACAGATACGTCCTCTACGGACCAATTGAGACACGCCACGTGTCCACCCATGCCAAATGGGAAAACCGGCCAACAAGGCCCAATCCTGTTTTGAGGCCCGGTCAACCCTAGGTTTACCCTAAACCTAGAGAGTGGCACGCTTCTCAAGACTATAAATACTTAATTAATCCTCATTAAAGGGGATCAAGCAATTAATCTCACCTAAAGAACAGAACAGAAACATTACGGAACACACTAATTACCGGCTGATCTCGCTAACAAAGCAGATTACCAACATTAAACACTCTCACCTAGAGAGACCTTATTACTTTAATTTCCGCATTAATTACTCCTTAATCAGGTACTAACTTGACCGTTGGAGGCGGAGCTCTCAGGAGTCTCCGTTATTTTGCAGGTACAGGCGTCCGGTTCCAGTCTCGGAATTGTAACTCTCCCGCAGGACATCAGAAAATCCCGAAACATCTACTATCTTTGATATTTCATGCCCCTATAAATACACATACTGATAAAGTACCTCCCACAGCTAATAATTTTTCAAAAAATTTACCCATTACTTTCATATTAAGATAATTATACAAATTCATCATATTAACAGCAATTCGATACATTACTATAACTACATTCACCGCACAATGACCAGAATAGCACATACATTACTCTTTAACAAAAGATCCACCGACATTATGAACATTGGACAAACCCTAACCCCAAATTCCTTCAATCAATTGATAATTAAAAGCTTATAACAAATATAGTAAACAACAATTACAAATACTTACATTTTCACTATTAAACCGTAGCTCCCTTTTGCAGCCATGACCACCTTCCTCAACATCACGCATGGCTTCAGCTAAATCCACCCCTAATATATCCTCTAAACGATTTCGCATCTTCTCAATTGGAGTACAAAATTAATTGTTCATCAAACCTACTCTAATTTTATCAATGTCTTTCGAATTCAATTTCTGGATTCGTCCAATTACAGCTCCATCAACTCGACCCCCTAATCCTGAGTTCTTCGGCAAGAAACAGAAAAATAAAAAATATTTATGCGTTTTGATTTCCCGCTCCTTAAGTCGTTTCCTGTTGTAAGATTAGTTAGCTATTGTTCTGCTATACATGTAAACATACATGTTGGCATCTTTAGGACCACTTCCTTACACCAACTTCAGAATAATCACAGAATTACCATCCTATAAGTTTAGAAACATATAGGAGCTATGGGACAAGGCTTAATCTCATGGAAGAGCTCTAAGCCGAATATGAGGAGAAAGAAAGAGGAAACAATTGAGGAGATCAAGGGAAGAGAGAAGCCATAAACGGCTGGTTTAGGAGTTAGAGAAAGGAACAAGGAATGTGGAAGGTCGTGGAATAAATAGGGTTTTGACAGGTTTTTTTTTTTTTTTTTTACTTTTTGAAAAAAAAAAATTGTTATTATAAAACAGATGGTTTAACTATTAAGGGCATTCTATATTATAAATCTATAGTTTATTACAAGAAATCAAACTTAACTGTTAACTAAGAAAGGCGTTTTTTATGATTCAATATATATAACGTTCTTCTACCAAAGACGTTCTATTTAATTAGCAAAATCACAAGAAGCAAATATTTTACTCCACTCTCGGCGGCCCATCTTTATGGAAAAGCGTTTCTTTCGCCTAACAAAGCAGTCTGGTGTATATTTTTCAAAGTTGTCAGGAGGACTAATTAATTCTAGCCTCTCCATTAGCCACATCTGCAAAAAAAAATCAATGCAAATAATTAGTATTACTATACAAAAATATATATTTTTGATTTCTATAATTAAAAATATTATTTTCTACCTGTAATAAAATTAGAGAGCCTCGAAAAGGTTCCTTTGGATTTTTCTTTAATTCATCCAAACTAAGCATAGTTTCTCCAACAATTAATGGCATTGGATTCCTCCCTGATTCAATTTGTTCCATGTCAGACACTAAAATTGCTTGACCTTCACAATTATTTTCACTAGTGAGGAGATATTGGCTAAACATGCAAAAGAGAAAAGCTCTCCTCCTATTAACATGAAAAGACTCATAATATGGTCTATCAAAGTAGTGGCGTGTAAATTCTTTCAAATTAACTACAGTTCCATCTACAATATTTTCTAGATCCCTGTCTTTAAGATTAAAGAAACGCTCAAAATCTTTATGATAATATATATTCGCTCATATTAGGAATTACCGCAAGATCCATGGAAGGAAAGCTTAGAATAGCACAAAATTCTTCCGGTAAAGGACTAATTTCATCATAGCCTAGTCTGAATCATGAGTGTCTGGATCCCAATATTCTAAGGAGGTATGAATAAAATATATATCTTTGTCTACCCCTTAATACCATAAATACCTCCCAGATGAAAGAAATCAAGCTCTTTTCTCTCCTTAGCAGTCAAAGATTGGCATCAGTCACGAGGAAAATCACTAAAACTTTTAGACATGATTGCTTAAAAGAGAATTAAAGATATAACTATTGTTTTAATCTGTTCAAAATATACAAAAATCGGCAGATTTGGGGGCTATTTATGCAAAAAAATTGGTACCGTTTGTTTTCCGAAAGGTCTGGCGACAAAATCAGCGTTTGGCGACAAGGTCAGCGTTTGGAGACAGAGAATCGGCTCGACGCCAGCTCTTCGCGCTATGCAAATCATATGTTTGTTTTAATTGCGACTCGATTTTGTACATTGACTTTACGTTTTTTGATCTCTTTCAAACACTTTTCGATTATTTTAAGCTTAATTAATTTTAGGCTTATGTTAGTCAAAATTTATTTAATTTTTCATTTTTTCTTTTAGGCGGAGAAAGTCAGATACCCTCCATTAATAATAAAAATGACAGAAATTCTTTGCGCAAAAATTAGTCACAACATTTCACACACTCACATGTATATAGAATGAAAAATAAAATGCACAGATAAAATAAATATAATAAGTTTGTATATACCTTGTATCTAGCATGGAAGTCATATAATATAATTTAGCAAATTCCTACAAGTCTAATAAAATAAATACAAATACAACTACGGTGCCGACAGTCGGGATCGACAAAGTAGGGTCATCCCATCCAGGCTCACCCTGATGCTGAATAGCCAACAACAGAGGCTGCGGCGGCTGTTGCGATGACGATCCAACCTCGTACGTCCCACCGCCCCTGAAGGAGTCGATGTCACGCCTCCTTAGCCTGCTGGCCTAGCATATGCATGACGGGTATCATTTGATGCATTTAATGAGCATTTAGGTTGTTTTATTCTTCTTTTCATAGCCTTCATGCTTAATAAATGCCAGTTTTATGCATTTGGTCTTGGTTTTACCTTTCCTCTCTTATTTTGTAGCTTTTGTGCATTTTGTTGGTTTTTCTACTCTTTTCTCTTTTATTTGCTCTATTTTCGTGGTTGTAGGTATTGTACGAGGTCTGGGTCTTGATATTGGTGATTTACTAAGGTGGAATATGCTTTTGGAGCAAGCTCGTGGCAATTGGAAAGCTCAAGATGTAAGGAAGTGGATTCTCCAAGTTCTAGCTCTTGTGCCCTCAAGCCGTGCTCTCATGAAGATAGGGTGTTGAACCCACTATCAAGTGCCTTAGAAGCTTCCACTATTAGTGTTCATTATTATCATATAGCGCGTCCACTTGAAGACCTTAGCGAACGCGCGAAGACGAGAAAAGATCCGAAGAAACCCAAAAGAGCGCGGGCACTCTTCTACGAGTTCCGGCTTCGTTCTTCTTCGTTTCGCGCCTCTTATAAATACCCTTTTGAACTCAATTTTTGGAGGCAAGTTTCAATTAGATTTTAGATCATAATTTTAGCGTAGTTGATAGCTTCTCTCTCTAGTTTTTAGCGTTAGTTTAGGAGTAGATTTAAGAGAGAGAAAGTGAGGAATTTTAATGGTGATTGAGAGATTGAAGATTCAACGGTGACAATTGTGTTGAAGATCTTCTTTATTATAAATGAGCATTTCTAACTCTATCTCATTTTATTGCTTTGTTTAATATTCTTGTTAGTTTGGATTGATTTTTATGTTTTATGCTTGATTAGTGTAGTTGTTCTTTATATATTGTTGATTCTTGATTATTTTAGTTGTTATTTTATTAAATGATGATGTTTGAGTAGTTGTTTGGCTTTGGAAAAGGTGAAACTTGTATAATTGATTTATTGTGCTTAATTTTGGGATTGTGTTGATTCATTGTTGAAATTAAAGTGATTAATGGAAGTTTGCATGTGTGTAATTCGATTAGGCCTTGAGAATTATGCTAGATTGCATTATAGTTTCTAATGATACGGACCATTGATTTAGGAATTGTAATTGTCGAATGAGCTTGATTAGTGATGCTCCTATTTAGAGTCTCTCGTAGTTGGCGTTAGTTTGACCTCTAGGAGATAGCTTGTTGACTCTTTTGATTGTACTTGCCATTACTCTTCACAACCATTGACTTGCAAGTATTTTCGAGTTGCTACGATTGTCATGATTACTTGTTGATCCCCGTTCCCGGTGCTTTATTTTTTTGGTTTCTTTGTTTGGTAGTTGGTTAGTGTTCTCTCTTTATCTTGGACTTCGACCTAGCTTAGGCACATAATTGAGAGCGCTTGAACATTACCGTTCCTTTAGGTTTGACCCTTACGTGCCTCTATACTAGTATTTAGGTTGGTTAAGTGTTTATAAATTTAGTTTGACATAGGGAGGATTAGTTTCAACGACCAAGTTCACCCCTCGCCAAAATGGTGCCGTTGCTGGGGAACGGTGTCTATGTTTGAGTGTACTTTATTTCTTGAGTCTAGGTCTTTGTTTATACTTTTATATTATTTTTTTTCTGTTTTGTATAAAAATGGCATGTCTATCATTTTCTCAATATGACAATGAGCCTTTTTGTGAATATTCCAATAGACTTGAGGGATTTCTTGACTATCATCATTGTAGTCTTTGGGAGGCTTGCGAGATTTGTTACTTTGGTTTGAATGAGCAAATTAGGGACATAGTTGAAGGAATGAATAATGGTAGATTTAGAGCATTTTCAATTGATGATGCTTGGGAGTTCTATGTTTGGTTTGCTTGGGAAGTTTATAATGGGGATAATCATGCTTCTAATTTTGATGTGCAATGTGTTAATTCTTCTAATGCTAGCATGATTTCCCATGATGTGTCACATGATCCCATAGTTGAACCTAGGACAAATGCTTCCAATTCTATTTCCTCTTTTGTTTATGATAATGAGGCGCATGCCCAAGTTAACAAATCTCACATGTTTGATTGTGCCCCCACCCCCGATGTGATGTATATGCTTATGATTTTAATATTGATTCTTCCAATCTTGGTTGTAATTCTTCTTCTCTTATTGAGCCTCAATCTTCTACACCTTTTGAATTTCCTAATGTTACTTGGGAAGCTCTAATGGAGGAGTGGAGAAGGATTGGTGAAGAGCTAGAATACAAAATATCACTCTTGACGCTTGCTTATAAAAATTCCAAATCCAATGTGTGTGTTTAGAATGATGATAATGATATTCATGAGCAACCAAGAGTGTATGAGGATCCTATTGTTGAGCATAGGAGTGAAGGAAAGGGAGTTGAGAGTGTTGATGATTTTGATGATATTTTGAATCTAGAATTCTCTTCCTTTGTTGATTGTGATGAGTCTCAAGTGTATGTATGTGACTCTTTTATCCATGAGTATTTGGACTTGTTTGAGGTTATGTCCAATGTGTTTTTTGAGTGTGAACGGAATACCCATAGCCTTTTAAGTAAGTTCATTGAGAATGCTTCATGGGAGAGAGATGATTTTGAAATGAATTTGCATCCATTCATGCATGGTTTTGAGACTTTGGGCTTTAAGGAAGTTGAGGGAGCTGTTGTTCATGAATGTAGTGGAGGAGATTATGTTGTTTCTCTAGGAAGTTGGATGTTTGAGGGGGATGGAGATCCTGAGTGTTCTTCTTTTGAAGATTCTATAATTTATTTTTATGCCCTCATTGGCAATGTGAGACCTTGTGGTAAGAGAGTAGCTACCCCTTTTTCTTTTTCTCATACCCTTTTTTCAAGAAGATTCAATCATATCGCTTACACTCATATTTCCCTCCCTTCTTTTGTCAACGAGCCTATTGGGGACCCTCTTGTCTATGATGATTTTAATGTCCCTCATTCGTGTATTGTTGAGGAAAAGGGTGATTATACCACCCAAAATTATTGTGCGGAGAGTTTGCCTTCTTCTTCTTCTTCTATTTCCTTTTCTTATTTAGTTGAATTTTCTTTTGATTTTTCTTATTTCTCTTGGCATCTCTCTCCTCATAGGCGTGCACTAAGCTTGTTACACTTCCTCCTCCCGTCATTTTCCTATATTCTCTCTAACGAAATGTGTAGTAGTGC